AGACTCCAATATCCTTCAATTAAGGAATACATGCCTGAAATCTTGTTAGGGTCCCTGTCATAATTTACGGCATCGATATCCCTTAACTACGGAATCTATACTTTAAGTCTTACAAGTTTTCCTATCATAATTTAAGTTTAGGGGGTTTAGGGTTTTAGGGGTTTAGGGGGGTTCAGGGGTTTAGGGGTTTAGGGGTCTAAGGGTTTAGGGGTTTAGGGTTTCGGGGTTTGGAGATTTCAGGGCCTCCCGAACTCCGGAAAGACACCCCCAAAGGGGTGAAAGGTCCCCCCAGCTCTGACATTCACGAGCTTGCGAGGCTTCGCACGCCTTCCAAAAAGCCACCCTCGGCTCGACACGCGCCTTGTTGTGCAAGTTCGGGCTTGGACTTCGGGTTTAAGGTTTCGGGCTTATGTTCGCATGGGTAGTTCTCTAAATTAGGGCCCCTCTTCGGGTCCTTTTTATAAGGGTGCCGCACTCTGCTGGGGACCCAAAAAGGGAATCGAATTTAGAGAACCACCCGTATGATATAGACTGCATCCTCATGATTATCTGCAACAGTAGTCGACTAGTGCCGGCTACTCGTGATATCAACCGCAGCATGTCGGTGGCGAAGCGACCTAGCGCTACTGTGCGGCCACCACCCACAAACTGCCTTAAGCCCTCAGCCAAGTGACATCAAGTGACACAACCCCAATATCCTAATCCCTAAACCCTAAACCCCTAAACCCTAACCCCTAAACGCCAAACCCCTAACCCCTAAACCCCTAAACCCCTAAACCCCGAAACCCTAAACCCTAAACCGCACCAAGGGGCACCTTGAGTCCCAGGATCCCGAAGAGGTGCCCGTGTAATTAGGATTCTAAATCAAGTTCCTAGCTCTCTCAATTAAGGTCCCTTTTCGGGTCCTTTTTATAAGGTGCCGTACTACGTTGAGTACCTCACGAGGGACCCTACTTTAGAGAACAGCCCATATATATATATATGATTCAGTAAGGGAGCTATACTTATGCATGCTTCCAACCCCGATCAAGGTGCTTGTGGCCTTACTTACTGAGGTCCCCGATGCCCCAAGTAAGCCTTTAGCCCTAAAGCCGACGCCCAAAAAAAAACCCAAGCCCTAAACCGAAAAAAACCCTACCCGAAGGCCCACTCCCTAAGCCCCATGTCCCAGCTCCTCAGTCCCATAAAAGTAGGGTTTGTAGGGTTTAGGGCTTAGGGTTTAGGGTGCTCTAAGGTCGAAAAGTCACCTGAAGCCTTCGGTTCTAAGTATGGGCAGCCACCGCAACACTCAGCCCAAAATCCCGAGCGCAACACCCTCTATGCACCCTAAATCCTGCAAAATCCCAATGCAAAATCCCAAATCCTAGATCCTCGACCCAAAACCCTACACCCTGACCCTCCACCCCTAAGATCTTAAACCCGAAGCCCTTCACATCACAATTCTAACTCCTTGAATGTGCTAAGGTGGAAACTCAGTGATCTTCGGCAGCAGAGCTCGAAGCATTTGGAGCACGGCGAGCCCGGCCAAGCGCGGCTCACGTCTCAGGTGGGGCAAAGTCTAAGGGTGTTTTCAAGGAGGCTTAGAAGTATTCTATCAGGATTGTATAGGATCCTATTTTTATTCAGGCTTCTGAAAGACTTCATAACCGGTAAGAGCCTTACAGGGGCTCGATTTGTTTGGTAGATAAAGGGTCTACCCCAGGATTGCGGGTTTAGGGCTTCCAGCGGGTAGGGTTACCCTAAACCTCAAACCCGGAGGGGGGGGCTTTCAGAGTTATCTTCAGCGATCCGACAAGCTGCCTCGAAGCATCACTGCCACGACTCTCTTTGGTGCGAAGCTTACAGCAATGGGCACCCTTCGAAAACCTGTAAAGAACCTCTTTGGGATTTCATCTAAAGGGCGATCATCACTCTCCAGCAAACATCCACGGACTCTAAACCCTAAGCTAAACAAGCCGTAAAACAGGGTCTGTCTGTGTCGGGCTTCAGGCACAGCGCGCAGAGTTCAGCTTAGACTTTGTCTGCGAAGTTTGGACCTTCGGCGTACGACAAGAGCAAGACTTGAAGCAACATTCGCTCTTCGGGCCGCTAGCTGAGTGTGGTATCACATCAGCCCTCAAAACCATATGCTAAACCCTAAACTCTAAACCCTAAGAGCCCTAAGCCCTAAACCCCTAAACCTTAAACCCTAAACCCTAAACCCCTAAACCCTAACCCCTAAACACTAAACCCTATGAGTCCTATGAGACCTAAGCCATACTCAAAAGCGATCAGAAGCCCGGGCTTATGCTGTGGCAGCCGGTTCCGGCCTAAGGGAAAACAGCCAGCAGCATAGGTTTCTGACGGGATATGCAAGAAACCATATTCCTTTTGGTTTATCGTTGGGGTTTGGGGTTTAGAGGTCCTTTAATACAGTAATGCAAGAACACACGCCAAATCCCTATTGTAATCATGAAGGCCCCCATGTTACACCTTCAAGCGTGGTGCTGTCAGAAAGCAATGTCGATGCGAACCTCCTCCCTAAGCCCCAAACCCTAACCCCTGAATCCATAATCCCTAATCTTAAACCCAACCAGACCTTCACGGAATCTTTGGCAGCTGGCAGATCAGTGAGTGCGAGACGGGCCATGCGATACTTCAGGCGAGCTGGGGGCACCGATAAAAGGTTTAGGTTTTTAGGGTTCAGGATTTTGAATTCCGTTTGACATGATATGGGTTGCCATACAGCTGTAGCAGAGGGTGCGGAACAGACAGTTAGTACTAGTATTCCCTTATGGGAATCTTTCATTATGGTAGAATCTGCCCTTGATGATCTTTAGATCGTTTTCATGCTTGGCACGGAGGTTTTCTCTAAGACGATGACACTGACAGAAAATTCCTAAGCTTGTGAACCGTACACCCTGGGGCCTAAGTCCCCCTAAACAGTAATTTCGGTAATTCAAGGAAGAGAGAAGCAGCAGCAGGACCAAAACCAACAGAAGCAGTGACGTAGTTACCACAGAGCTGATTATAGTCTTTCTTGTCGGATTACAAGGAATGCTGGAGGGGTGCTTTTCAGGCTTTTTGCATGCGTCTGTGAATTCCTGCTTAGGAGATAGCTCCTGCCGCGGCGCCATGTTTAGCGCACCAGAAACAAACCCTGCAAAGCTTCTAGGTTCCCGAGTAGTTTAGGGGTTTAGGGTTTTCGGGGTTTAGGGTTTGGGGTTTAGGGTTTAGGGTTTAAGTCTAGGTTCCCGAGTAGTAGCCTTTTGCTCTTTTTGTTTTGGGGTCTCCTTCTTAAAACCCAATAGTAGGAAAAAGGGTACCCTTATTATTTAGGGGTCACTCAGGAACTAGGCTTCAGGGGAAGGATTTAGCTAGGGAAGACCGGGATTTGGATGTAGGCGGTAGCCCCGCCCCTGAGCCCCTAAACTACTCTAAACCTGCCCACCCTCAACTCTTAACCCCAACACCCTGAACCCAAAACCGAAAACCCCTAAACCCCTAAACCCTAAACTCTCAAGCCCAACACCCTGAATCCTAAACCCTAAACCCTGAACCCTAAACCCTGAATCTGAAAGCCCGAAGCCCTGGGCCCATGTTTTCCAGGCCTTGGAAGCCTCAGAGGTGCCAAACGTGGCACACATCACCGCAGCCTTGAGGAGGCAGTTGCATGGGATGCATTTAGGGTCCCGTTTAGGGTTCCTCAAAGGGATCTACAGGGTTTCTATAAGGGCTTCTACAAGGGTTTCTATAGTAAATAATATGGGCTCTACATGTATGGTCCCTTTTGGGATCCTTTGTTATGAGGGTGCCGCAATATATTGGGGACCTAAAAAGGGACACCCTAGTTTAGAGAACTGCCCATATTTTCTTCCTGGTAGCAGCATTTAGTGTTGATGTCTTTTAGGGAGTGTGTATGATTTGGTGTTTATGGTTTTTAGGGTTTAGCGCCCTATAGGATTCACGGTGTCTGGGTTTTAGCGATTTTAGCGTTTGGAGTTCGTAGGATTTAAGCTTCAGGGTTTTGGGGTCCAGGGTTTAGGGCCCGAAACCCTAAACCCTACACCCTAAACCCCCAAACCCTAAACCCTAGACCCCAAACCCTAAACCCTACACCCTAAACCCCTAAAGCCCTAAACCGGTATGGGGGTTTATGGAGTGCAGAGTGTCTTGCGGACAATCGGAGGAACCCATCCGCTATGAAGGGATCCTGTATGACCCATAATCAGGAATATACCCTTAAGGAAAATACCCCAAATAAGGAATATACCGTCATAAGGAATATACCCATAGTAAGGAAAATACCCAGAACAAGGAAAATAACCATAGTGAGGAATATACCCGTAATTCCTGTAGTTTAGGGTCCTTCACTGAAATGCAGGATTTCTATCATCAACCGTATGAAGGGATCCTGCAGCGTCGCATTGATGTCGGAGGCTCTGAACAGGAACCCTTGGACCCGAAGCCCTCAACGCTTGAAAAGAAGCTCTGAATGTTTCGAAACGGCTCTCCATGCTACCAAGTAAAGACGCTTAAAGGGTTCCTCTAAGGGATTTACAAAGGTTCTAGAATAAGGGATCTATATGGGTTTTGGGGCTTACGAAGTACGGTAGCCATAAATTATGATTACTTGTGGCCCCGCTTGAGCTCCGCGTCAGCATGCTGAAGTCCCCGGGTCCTCCAAGCGCGCAGAGGTGCCGGAAACTGGATGCCAGCGATGCTGCATCAGATGTTCTGGAGTGTCCTGGTTCAACTCGAAAACCCTGAACCCTAAACACTTATGGGGGCCATAATCATTAGAGTGGTTTTTTCGGGTTCTAGTGCGGATTCTGAGGAATCAGTTCTGGTATATATTGGTAGTTGTTATCAGGATTGGTGTTTTGATACCGCCAGACTCCAACCAAGGCTCATGAGACACAGGAACATCCGCCCGGTCGTGGCGATTGCTGTCGAGATGGCCGCCCTGCCGCCGGGATTCCATGCCCCTCACCCTGATCTCGAAGCCCTAAACCCAAAGCCGAAATCAAGCTCCAAACCCTTCGGGTTTGAAAACCTCGGCCAAACCGTGGGCCCGAGATCCCCGAAAGATCCTTCAGCCCACTTTTACCCGGTTTAGGGTTTACGGAATTAGGATTTAGGGTTTGAGGTTTAGGGTTTAGGGTTCTGGGTTTAACGCTTAGGGAAGAGGGTTTCGGGTTCAGGGCAACCGCAAAGCCTCCCAACAACCCGCAATCCCGAAAACCTGAACTTCGTTAGCCCTTGAATGCCGTGTCTGTCCAAACAAGCGGCCGAAGCCTGAAATTCGAGGCGTCCTACGTGAATATTACTGATCAAGTCTCGCCTCACCCGTCTTCAACCCTGAACCGAACATTAAACCCCAAATATTTCTGTAGCGCCAAGGCTGAACATCTCGCGCAAACACGAGGAGCTGGAGGGAGTATCGTGTTAGAGACGAGAGGGCAGCTACCTAATTTCGGGCACATCGGATCATTGTTTTGCATAGTTTAGATATAAACATGGACAAGTATTGTACATTGTTTATAAATATGCAGGCTTCGCAAGAGTCGCGTTATAAGCTGAGATCATGTTGCACGTTCGCAAGATACCCTAAGGAAAGAACACGAAAACTCAGAGTTTCAATTTTTGGGATTATTGAGACCCAGAACCACAGGAACGCTACAGCCGATGGCGCTTGGACTCACAGAAGAATTTCGCCGTCGGTGTGGTTTTTTGCTACGCCCTGAAACGCAGTTCTGTCGACAAAAGTCCTCCTAGCTACTGCTTTGTGGATCCGAGTCCCCGAACTTCAGCTTAGACCCAGTCCCCCCGAAAAGGGTGATAGTACAATAGACTATAATTTACGAGATTATACTGAGCAAGATGAATTCCAAAATCATGCAACATATTATGATATCATATCATGTCATATCATATCATATCATATCATATCATATCATAGTCCAAATCATAATCATGTCATGTGACGCCATGTGATATTATATCAATTATATCATGTCATATCATATATTAACATATCATGTCAGGTATTATGATTTAGCATATTTCACAATGATATAACACAGGCCAGAATATATCAGAATATAGCATATTACAACATAACACGACACAACACATCATAATCTCACAAATTACGGCATGACACATCATGATAGTACAAACCATACAACATAATATAGAATAATATAGCATAGTATAGCATAGTATAACATAATATAACATAATATAACATAATTTAACATAATATAACATAATATAACATAATATAACATAATATAACATAATATAACATAATATAACATAATACAACATAATATAACATAATACAACATAATACAACATAATATAACATAATATAACATAATATAACATAATATAACATAATATAACATAATATAACATGATAT